GGGTGTGAGATCAGTGTGAGGAGTTATAGAGTCTGATGGCCGTGGGTAGGAAAGATCTTCTGTAGCGTTCAGTGGAGCACTTAAAGCTAGGCTGGGTGTGAGATCAGTGTGAGGAGTTATAGAGTCTGATGGCCTTGGGTAGGAAAGATCTTCAGTGGAGCACTTAAAGCTAGTCAGCCTGTAGCTAAAAGTGCTTCTCTGATCAGCCACCATATTGTGGAGCGGGTGATCAGCATTGTCCATGATAGACTGAAGCCGGAACAATATCCTCCGTTTAGCCACCATTTCCAAGCTGTCAAGTTCCTCACCCACTACAGAAGCCGCTTTCCTAATAAGTTTGTTCAGCCTCTTGGCCTCTGCCACTTTCATGCTGCCACCCCAGCTTGCTACAGAGAAGAAAATGGCGCCGGCCACCACAGCCTCATAAAACATCCGCAGCATGGTGTTGCAGACTCTAAAAGACCTGAGTCTCCTTAGGAAGTACATCCTACTTTGACCCTTCTTGTAGGTAGCCAGTGAATGCTTTGACCAGTCCAGCTTATTGTCCAGGTGGACGCCGAGGTACTTGTAGTCCTGAATGATCTCCACATCCACCCCCCTAATGGACAGGGGAGTAGCAGGAGACCGTGGGACAACAACATAGAAACAATTTAGTTGCCTTCTTATACTTGCAGTAGCACATTCACTTGGCTAGCAATTGCAAAGAGCTAAAGATAGCTCTGCCCGTTGCCATTCCCAGTCCCTTGGTGGGCAGGGTGCTGCTGACAGCATAGGGCCCTTCAGCAAGGTCCTTAACCTCAGCTGCTCATGGGCCACCAAGCCCAGCCTCTGCTCTGACCCCAAGTTCTGCTCTCACCTGTTCATGGCCGTGTGTGTCAGTCACAGGAGAACAAGACGGGATATGCGAAGGCTGACATTTCATTGCATTCGCTCCCTGTACAGTGGCAATAATGGCATTCTCAGCAGTGTAAGCAAATATGCAATCATGTAATAAAATTTAAATGGAATATGTATTTATGATAAAACAAAGTGCGGCATAAGCATAAATAAAAACGTGGTCATCTATTGATCTACATTTACATTCCTTAGAAACAGCACGCAAATTCAACTAAATTAAACAAGCTGTCCTGTAATCTCCTGATGCATGAAAAACACGTCCATTTAAAGTTTTACTCCACTTATCGGTGAGGCAATAAAATCAGATAAGAAGAGCTTGTATGAAATGTGCTTTCACTCGTCCTGTGGGAACGACAGAGACAGAGGCTGCCTTTGCTGTCTCCTTCCCCTCCCCCATAGCAGTCTGACTCTGTTGCCAAGCAACGTATCCAAATTGGGGGGGGGGGGTAGCTATTCACAGATGAAGTAGTGTTTGAGGAGTAGAGATAAATGCCTGATCCCAGCCTTGACAGGCAGACCTGGACAGGGGAAATTGCACAGTTACACCAACCCAGCTTGCTTTATCTTTCCTATTGTTACAGTTCCTTTTTGTTCCCTCTGAGCATAACTGGCAAGGCGGTTTGTGGCTTATGGCCACGAACAAAGCACTGCTGTATACGACACATGTACACTGCAATCTTATCACTCTGACCTATCAGTATGCATGTTTAACACAAGGCAATCACTCCAGCCTATCAGAGTGCATGCATACTGGAAGGCCATCAGTCTGGCCTATCAGAATGCATGCTTAGAGGAAAGCTACCACTCCAGCCTATCAGAATGCACGCACACTGGAAAACCATCACTCCAGCCTATCAGAATGCATATTACCTGTAACGCCACCATTCCAGCTGAAAATAAAAAAAATTAAAAAATCCATTTATAAAATTATTAATTACATATATGATATACATTTCTATATAACTACAGCACATTATTACGGGCAGGAATAGTAAAACTAGCACACTAATAGAATTTTAAGATACATCACAAGTACAGCCTTGCAGCAGGTGCTGGAAACACCCCAGTCCGTCAGTGGCTACTCACTGTCAGCTGTGTGAGAGATCCAGCCCGGCCCAGCCAACTGCAAACAGTACCAGAGCACTCGGCCCACAGGCTCCGGGAAGCATGGCACTTTCAATAAGTAGAGTGCTGTGCTACCACTGCGAAGGTTATAAGTTCAGATCCCAAGGAATACGGCTCATTTGTAATTTACTTCAGATAAATATCAGTTACTAGACAAAAATCCCCTCTCTGGAGTACAGAATGGATAGCAATGAGCTACTGAACATAGAGCTACACCTGGCTGTCATTGCATAGAACTAAATTTCCCAGTCAGACCTCTAATTCTGGTACAGCCAAAACAACTCCCTCAATTTTTCTTCTGTGCACTCATATCCTCAATCCTGCTGTGCATATTATATGATATTAATAAATGTAATATGATAATTAATTAAATATGATATATTTTTCATAACTATTTTATGGATTTTGTTTATTGTTCACAATGCTAGTTCCTTTTCTGTAATCCATTTCAATTACAAAAGTAAAATGACAGACTATAAAAACATTACAAGATAGGATCAGCGTACAGTGAAATACAATGTAAATGGGGCAGCGCACAGTGAAATACAATGCAAAGGGGACAGTGTACAGTGAAACTCACTGCAAAGAGGTCAGCATACAGTGAAACACGACGCAAAGGAAGTTTGACACATAAGATAGTTTAGCCACAAACCTTTTTTTTAAACTGTGTACTGTAGTGCATCGTTTTGTCTTTAATTTTGAGACAGTGCTGAAAACTGCCAAAGCAGCACTTTTCAAATGAAGGCCTGTAGTGCCACCTACAGGTATAATGCAGCCATTGATCATTTTTGTCGCTCCAGGCCTCTGTAGGCCTCTAGAAGAAATAGCAAAACATTTTTGTTGCCTCCGTATAATACTTTAATATAAAATACTTTAATAATGAATGCACTGTAATTTAGGGCTTGAACAAAAGGTCTCCATTACATTTTGTAAATGCCATTGTGCACAGCATCCAGGAGTACGTGGGATCTCGGCCTAATCTCGGCCTGTCTGCATGTGGAGTTTGCATGTTCAGCATGTGGAGTTTCCATGTTCTGTGAAAACATGTGTGTTTGCATGCATGTGTGCGTATGTCTGTGTGTGTGTGTGTGTGTGTGTGTGAAGACTTATTCTGGACCGGCAGCCTGGGCATAAGCAGAGCATAGCACAGGACGTAGAACCAAATGCTTTAGGGTTGTGTGTGTGTCTCCCACTGCTGACATTAAGTTGTCTCTTGGGTTCATCAGGGGTGACCAAAATGCAGGGAAGCAAACAGCATGTCCAACGCAGTGCAGAGGGAGACACAGGGCTGAGTAAGAGTCCCCCCCCCAACACCCCATCATCAGTCGTTTGTCAGGTGTGCTGCCGCTGTTTGGCGGCCTGGCTGTTGTATGACCCGCAGCTAAACTGACTAAATGTGTATAGTCCTGGAAATAACCCTCATTAGAGGATGTTGTTTGTCTCTAATCACCGGCAGAATCTCCAAACTGTATTTATATATATATGTATTTATATTTATATATGTGTATTTATATTTATATATGTCCATGTCTGTGCCCTGTGATAGGTCGGCATCCTGCACAAGGTGTCATCTGCTTTGTGATAGGCCGGCATCCTGCCCAAAGTATCTCCTGCCCTGTGATAGGCCGACATCCTGCCCAAATTGTCTCCTGCCCTGTGATAGGCCGGCATCCTGCCCAGGGTGTCCTCTGCCCTGTGCTACCTGGGTTGGGTTTCAGAACAGTCATTTCAGTTATATTTAGATTTAATACACTAAACTCTGCTGTTTAATGAGTCATTATAGAGGGAAAAGCATAATTTCTGTTACTGAAAAAGTGAGCTCTGACATGGCTCTACAGATCAATCCAGGCCGAGTTGTAAAGAGACTGTCCTCTACCGAACTGATATAGTTTAAAAATATATCCTTTGCTCAAATTCATTTGAAAACAACAACCCCACCCATACTTCATGTTTGTTGTGAAATTCCTGAAATACTTTATTAACATCCGACTCCATTGCGTAAACTGAAAGACGCCCGGACTTGTCAGGTCATACGAGTCGGGAGCAAAGACTGTGCAGACAATAGAAACCTGGAGTCACATGATCTTTATTGAGGATGTGCATCGTGAGAAGGGTCAAGTCACTTCTTCTCCAAAAAGATAACAGAATAAAACCACATTGTCAAATTACGAGCACAGGAGCCATTAATCCCAGGTAATGGAATCCCGGGTAAGTTCACCTGCTAATTTTACCTGTGATTCATTCTTAGATTAAGAACTGTTATATATGCATGTTTGGTCCATGGTTATACAAAACAATCTAAGAAAACAAAACAGTACAACAAAACTGCAAAATATATATACGTATGTGTATGTACTAAACATACAACTATATGTAGCTTTCACGATTGGTCCTACAGTCCTGAAATAGTTACAAAATATAACATACAGTATAACACAATGGTACTTACTTGGCAACAAATAAAACCAGACATTGTTAAAGTCTACAGTGAAAGTGAGAATAACAGATGTTACAATAATAATCCTTAATCTACAAACACTAAATTCAACTATTGTGGCTAAATTCTAAAAAAAGTTTTTGCAGGAGCTGAGAGTACAAAAACATAGCACCTAACAGTGTAAATAACACCAAAGAAACAGGGAATTCCTTATTCCTCAGAGGCAGGTTTTATCACGTGGCAAATGTCTTGGAAGCAGAACCATTTTAACAGACTCACATTGCTGAAAAAGATCTGTCACAGAAATCCTTGGGACATTTGCGTTTTTTTTTTCTTATTAATATTTCAAAAAGGTAGAAGTATTCTCCTGCATAGAGATCTGAGATGCATGAACAACCATGTGTTACAGTGTATAAAAAGGTTTAAAAAACATACAGTACTTTGTTGCAGTTTAAAAATATAGGCTAAGAGCTTAAAAAAAGTAAAATTTTACATTCCATTTATATAGAAAAAAATATAAAAACAGTTCATAATATGTTAATAAGTTGACGTATTTTAATATGCCCAAATATTCCTTGACAAAGGAAAGCTGATACTGTAAACATGTTTTTTAGACAAACAACAGTACTTAATGCACAAACAACAAAGACGTGATTCTGAAAATACGTTAACTAGTGGACCCCTGACCTTTTTTCTTTATAAAACTGATGTAAGTACGAGCTTTGATTGGTCAGCAAACAATACAGCTCATTAACTTCTGTATGTTTTCATCTTTAAATCATTTGTTCACACGAACCACTTTAACCATAACTTCAAATGTTTTGGCCAAAAGTAACTTGGTCTCTTTACTTTGTGCGCTTCAAAAAGGTTTTCTGAACAAAAAAAAGAAAAAATGAAAACTGAGAGTTTAAAACATCATCTCTAGGATAACATTGATAAACTATAAGTTTTGTATTATGCTTAAATAAATCTATTAATTGTACTTTTTTTTGTTATTAAAATAATCAATGCAAAATTTTAATGACAAATTCACCTTTTAATAAAGTATTTTTATACCATCTCTGGAATATCTGTTAAACCATTTGTAGCTTTTTCATTATGTATTTTAAGGAAATCATTTTTTCTTTTATATTAGAACCACAAATATGAAATTTTGACCAGAAATTCACCTTTAAAAAAAGTATTTTAAATATTATAAAATTGTCGCAGTGTGTGATGCTGAGGTACTTGTCAGAGCATGGAGTCCAGCCCATACAGGTAAAGTGTGTCTACAGTAAACCACAGTCGTGAACGACTCTGCATCCTGGTGTTCCGAGCGGAACGTCGGGATCATAAACAACTGACGGAATATGACCCTGTAACTGGCTACAGGAGGACAGCACCGGCGTGGTACGGATCGCTTTCGCAGATGGAGGCTGCTTTGCTCTGGGTGGGGGCTCAGCCCCTATTCGCAGGCAAAGTAGTCCTTGAGGGGGGCGAACAGGTGCCTGATGACCGGGACGCTCCAGGAGCGGCCCAGCAGCTTCTGCCGGGCCCCCCGGCCCATGTTGGACACGTCGGTGTAGTGCACGGGAAACCCAAATATTCTGCAGGGGGGGCAGATGAGCGTCACAGTTACGAGGGGGCGGGGGATGTGGAGGAGGAGAAGGTCATGGGAGATGAAGCAGCTTGACACTCACTTTCAGCCCTGGACTCTGACGATAACTCATTCAGTTGTGATTGTGTATACCTACATTCATTAGTTAGTTTTTAATAAATTTTAAATCCGTTCATTAACTAGTGGTCCCGCACTCAGGAGTTTCCCCAAACAACTTCCTTATTATTTCCTACGTCACTTTCCAAGGTACTGCTTCAAACTCCTCCCCTTATCTCTCATTCAGGAAATCCCTGTCAAACCGAGGCCTTTCCACTGCCCAATGACTAGCCTCGCCCCCCCCCCCACTGCGTCCGTATCAAGGTGGTCACCTTTCCAGCTCCGTGCACCACAAGATGTCCTCCTTCCCGTTCATGATGACGGGGAAGTGCTGGTCTTTTCCCTGCTTAATGGAGTTCGAGCGTGTGGTGATGGTTCGCACCTTTCCAAACTGCAAAGAATTATATGAAGATGGTATGTCATGTGACCCCAACACACCCTGGCAGAAAGTCATATCGGTGTGACAGAGGCAACGGCTAATTTGCACGGACCTTTGCCACACGGCCGTGTTCCAGACAGTCCTGAAGTTCTAGTTTGTCCATCCCTGATGCACAAAGTGGTCTGGAAAAAAAAAGGGAATCCAAGATTGGCCACTAGGGGTGTAACGAGATCTCGCGATATTACAACATGACGGGATTTCTCGTGAAGGTGCTGCAAATCAGCTGATGTAAGCATATCGGCGTCTGATGAAATTGTAGATGCCCCAGATACTTTTAAACCTTTTGTGTGGCAGCATTTTGGGAACCCGGCGGAAAATATAAACGGCGAAAAGGTGACAGACAAAACACAAACCATCTGTAAGCATTGTGGGAAAATAATGCCGTTCACAGCGGCTACTGCTACTGCTATGCAAAGCCATTTGCAGCACCATCTTTACTTAAATCCACTGCACCGGTGAAGAAAACATTCAAAAAAAGTTTTATGTTTGTTATTTATATTGTTTTATATATATTTTTTTTTTTATGTTCAATTGAGAAGTCAAATAGGAGAGAAGCCTGTCATTTGAGTTTGTAGTGAAATATTTTATGGTGCTAGATATTTGTTCTGTTCTTTACTGCATATGATGATGGTGATTATTTAAAACATTTCACCATACATCTGCATTATTTAGCATTTTTTTGTCTTTCAAATTAATCAAATAAAAGGCTGCTTTCCAGTAATATATCTCCTCTTTGAAATTTTCCTTAAAATATTGTTAAAATATCATCCCGTCTCGTTCTCGTGAACCCAATATCGTGTCTCGTCTCGTGGGCTGAGTATATCGTCACACCCCTATTGGCCACTTGTCAAGAAATGATAACAAGGACATTACAAAACAAAAGAACCCACTCAGCTGTAAGTGAAAATGGAGAACATCTGGAGAACCCTCCTCGGTACCTCTGACTCTTCAGGTCCACGCACCTGTTCATCCCTGGAAGGTTCCCCCAGAAGTAGCGGGCGCGGTGAGCTGCGGAGACCTCGATGGCGTCGATCATCACTGGATTGCACTGGAGAATGACACATCACGGTGATCTACCAATCAACATCAGGGTCGCAATTCTTTGCGGTTGCATGCAATGAAAAAGTGTTTGGCTCATTCCTAAATGCGGCGTCAGTGAACAACCACAAATACACAAGCCAAAGGAGAGCTACAGAAATGGAAAGTAACACAAGAGTACAAGCTACGTCCTCCCCACATTGTTAGTGCCTCCAAGCCCCCAGAGTCCACCTACCCCCAACAGCCCCACCCTCGCCCGTAATGGCCGGCTGACGGCTCTGACCTCAAGGAAGCGTGAGATGTCCCTCTTGTCGTTCACCCCCATGGCCACCACATTCTCAAACATCCAGAAGAAGGGCCGGTCCTCGCCCTCCTTCGGCTTGGCCTCGCTCAGCAGCCGGTAGAATTCGAAGAAGAGTCGCCCAGTTCCTTCTGCCAGGGAAGCGGGAAGCGCACAGATGGAGGGGGGGTCTACAGGAACGAGACTGCTCCATCCAGCAGTCTATCATTCCTCCACGCACTCCCACCCAGACCAATCCACCCCCCTCACATCATCAACAGGCAAGTCCTTTATACTAACTGATCAGAGGCGGCGTTTACCGTCACCCCAATCATGCATTTGTGGGGGAGGGGGGCAAACAGTCACTACACTGAGGGGACCCCCCAGGTAACTTTCCCAGAAACAACAAAGCATCCCCCAGTTATGGTGAATCTGTTTTCATTCACAATTTAGTGTTAAATAATAATATATAAGGATCTTTCTGAGTCTTTATGATAAAACATTTAAAAGGTGTACACGACGCCCCCCTGACGGCGCCCCCCCTTACAGAATCCCCCTACGGCGCCCCCCACTGATGGCGCCCCCCTTACGGCGCCCCCATGTGGTGCATCCTTACCATAGAGGCCCTTCCTGGCGGGGTTGACGATGGAGAGATCGTTACAGGGGCTGCCGCCGATTACCAGGTCAAAGGGTCCCCACTCTGCGATCTGCATGGGACAGTGGTGTGGACACACGACGCCAGTTACTTGCTGGGTCGTGACCAAGAGTGACCGTCACCCACAACAACGCCCGACACCCCCTAATACCCAATGACTGACCTCAGAAAGTCAGTTAACACAAAGAGGCTCGATGTCTCACTTAATGTGTGCCGGGTAACAACATTTTCAACATTAAAAAACACAGCAAATTTCACTACAAAATTTTTTTTTTTAAAAAAAGACGCATCTTACATGGTTTTCGAACGATCGCGGTTTGAAAGCATAAATATATATAAAAATATATAAACAAAATATAAAAAGAAAAGCTTTAAAAGTAACCAAGAGGCACTATTTCAAATTAGTGCATAAAGTGAGTAAGTATGGATTGTGCACAGTGTGTGTCACCGGCACGCTGCCTGTTCCGACATCCACTGGCCAGCATCCTAACTGTCATCTAGCACTGGTTGGTGGGGGAGCTGCACTCACTATTTGTGAACAGTACTATAGCATTCGCTAATCGTTAATGTCGACATCGCATGTTATGCACGTGCAATTGTTGCGTCATATGTGCTGTGACAGTGATCTGGGTTGAGACCATAAGGAGGTTTTGGTGAAACATTTTTACTCCGTCGCAGGAAACAAAACTTCTCAAGCTCTGCAATTTTAACTGTGGTTCCATCCCAGGATTCCTTTTCTGTCGCTTTTCTAGACAATGTTTAAAAACTAGTCTAAAGTTCACCCCGGGTTGCTCTCTCAGGCATTCATAGTCATTTTCGTCCTTGCTGTTAGACTCACAGACAGCGCGGCGGGTTCGTGAGAAATTTAACAAAAATCAGCGTGAAGGAGAAAAACGAGCAAGAACTGGCCACCAAAAGCCTTCTGCCGTACGGAAATATTTTGCATCCCATAGAGACAATACTGAGCAGAAGCAATTTCAAATATCATGATGTGAATTTTTTCCAATAGGAAAAGATTCTGCTTGTCGTGGTATGGTGTGGTTGTAAAGATATCCCATTCCAGACAGGTCTGTGGATCCGCTGGAGCTAAATGTTTCAGAAGAGCCTTGTGATCTTACTGAAATTCTGGTCTTTGTTGTAAATCACACCCCCTTGCCCCCACCCCACTCCACGCCCGGCATCAGAGGCACTCGCAGGGTAACCCTGAGGGCAGAGTTTTGGTTCCCAGGCGGGGGCGAAACATCTCCAGCAAGATAAGGGCTTCAGCCCCCGACAGGTGAAAGGTGCAGCGGGGGGATTTTACTTTTTCACAAGCGGGTTTTTCAGCCAGAACAATGTGGCGGTTGTTTGTTTTGAGGTCGGGGGTAAAGACATACAGGTGCAGCTGGTGAAAGATTGTCTAGACAGATCAGGCATGGGTGCAAGAATATGGATGGGAGTCAAATATTTGCACAGACGCTTGTCTCAAAGCCCAATTAAATAAAGACTTCAGCTGCTACACGGCTCCATACTCCCTGAATGCCCTTAATGTCGCACTTTATGCTGATTTGAATAGCTTATTCTTACTGGGCTCCTTCTTTGTTTGGTAGATGTTGTGTAGCTCCTTCTCAAATACTGCTCACACATATCCATGCGCTCGCTGGAAGCTCAGCCTAGCTGCACTTACGCCTAGTCGACTCTGTCATGGCTGCATGTTTGTAATGTGCTGCCTTACTTGTGGGTCACTTTGGCGGCTGCTAAATGAAGTAAATGTAAATATGTAAATCTAGCAAGTCGAACCCATGAAACAAATTTAAGGCTTTATCATCTGCAATACACAACCCACTGTGCATCCATCCATCCATCCATCTATCTATCTATAGTCCTTCCTGGGTCTCAAACCCTCACCCCTGCATATCTTTAGGCTACACCCAGTGGCTCCCAGCAGTGGCTGACACAGGCTCCTCGAGGTGCCGACTCACATCCTTCCTGGTGATGTTCCTCACGTCATGGACGTACTGGATCTTCCCTTCGTGCCGCACCACCCCCACCGAGATGGAGTCCTCACACACCTCTGATGCCACGTACTGGCCCACCTTGAAGCCCAGGTCCCGCAGCACCAGGTACCCTGCAAGCGGCACGGTGTTGGACGTTACAGGAACCACCGCGGCCGCCCCGGGGCGCCGTGCCACCTGTGTCAGACGGGCGCTCACCCGTGGCGATGCCGTCGAACAGCGAGAGAACACGGATGGGGCGCCTCTGCTCTGCTGGTACAGCCGGGTAGATCTTGGGGTTTTCCTGGAGAGGAAGTGAATTCCGAATCCGGGTGAATCACACTAGGGCCAACATTTTTAAGAAACACTACATATTACATAAAGCACTACAGAAAACAACACAAACTGCCTCACTGTACATACAAAGTACTTACTGTCACATACAGAGTAACCTTTCTACAATCTCTGTCTCTTAAGCTATAATGTTAGTATGCCTGGGTGGGGGTCGGGCAGCCAGATGACCTTGGAACCCCAGAGGCTATTTTTCTCCCTTCTTGGGAATTTTTGGTTCCTCTTCTCCATTGTCACCTGACTTTCTTTCTTTCTTTGATTTCATTGTCTTTCCTTTTCCTCGTTTTTTGTATTATTCTGTCTTAATGATGTATCACAACACACCCATGTAGCCTTGGGGCGACTCTGTGGTGAAAGGCGCTATTTAAAAATAAACTGAATGGAGCTGAATTAATCCCACACAGATGCACACAGTGACACATTCTCTTACATAATCTCCGATAGAATCTCTTACTTGTCTCTTGTAAACAGTCACACACAAACCCCAGAAAGAGCCCCCCCCCCCCACAAACTGTCAACATTTCCCTTTTATAAACTGTCACCACCAATTTACTCGTATAATTCCTTTCCGGCTCCAGTATAATGTAAACCACACTAATTATGTGGCAGCCAGCAGGGGGTGACACAGCCAGCAGGGGGCGACACTCACAAACTCCTGCCCGTTGTCGTTCACGAAAAACTCCTGGAGCTTGATGTTCCAGTCGTGGCGCCGCTTCAGGACGCCGTAGCGGGCTGGGGGCTGGCACATGTAGCAGCACCAGGGGTCCAGAGCGCGGGCGCTCTCTGACGCCCCTGCACCCACCAGGATGTCCAGACAGTCGACGCAGAAACACCTGCAGGGGGCAGTGTGCAGACGACGAGTAAGAGGATGTATGTATGCTTGCCATATTATCCCAACATCAGGCAGCTATGAGGTTACTGCCTTGAAAAAAACAATCAACCAATTAGTATGTAACCCAAGTAATTTAGACACCCAGGGGGGGAAATATCTCGTTAATCTTGGGCGCTTAAGGGCGACTCCGCTAATGACCTTTAAGTGTTTAAGTTTGACGTTAAGTAGGGGGGGGGGGTTCATTTTTCAATAGCAAATATTTAAGTGAGCCTGGGGGGCAGGTCCTTTCTAAGCAGAAAAATTTAAGAATTTAAGTAAGGTGAGGGGGTGTGGCCAGAGAACTGGGGAGGGTGTGTCCTTAGTCAACAGTGAAAATTGAAATGAGCAGAGTGGGCGTGTCCTTTGTCAGTGCTAAATGTTTAAGTGGGCCAGGGGGCGTGTCCATTCAGCCAGGGGGCGTGTCCATTAAGCCAGGGGGCGTGTCCTCTATCCATGCTGCACATTAAAGTGAGCCAGAGGGGGTGTTCATTGAGCCAAGGGGGAGGGGGGCGTGTGCTCCATCAATGTCAGGGGTGGGTCTTCACCTGCAGCAGTTGGCATTCCCACACAGCAGCACCTCCCTGCCCCCGCAGCACACGGTGCAGTAGGACTGGTATCCGTCATCATCATACATGTAGCACATCTCCAAGTAGACATCCTGGCCAGGTGCACAGACATGGAAGGAGGGTGGAGACACATGTTACTATCACAGCTGTAAATGCCCCCCTCCAGCATAGAATCCAGGGCTCTGTGCTCATTAAAGCCATACACACCCCCCCACTCACACCCACACACACACACACGCATGCAAGCATATACACACACATACACACAAACAGGTTTGTAATATCTTTGTGGGGACTCTCCAATAATTTCTATGGGGAAAACGCTAATCCCAACATGACGACCTTATTCCCTCCCCAGCCCTAACATTAACCATAAGAGAGGAGCGTGCACTGATTACAGCGTGTGACCGCACCTGCCACACGACAAACCGCCTCAGGGATGAGAGCGCGAGTGCAGCCGCGGCAGGTGACACCTCAGCACCTCACCAGTCCAAATGGACCAGTGTGAGTTTTTTTCCCCGTGGCTGGAGTGACATAAGTAACCAAACAAAATACGAGGCTTTTGCCATTATTACTTCTTTGAATGCATTCACCGATCTTTGCGTGGACCTTCAAAATGGTCCCCACAACATCAAAAAAGAGGGGGACATTTGGTCCCCACAATGTAATATAAACATAATCCACATAGACAAACACATATATACACAGGCACATCCGTGAAGCAGTGGTGAGGATGTCGTTCGATGAAACCACTGACTATGCATTCCAAAACGTTTGGTAAAGAAGACACACGTGTGCACAAATGTATATGAAATCAGCACATCCCCACAAGCCGAACGTAAACTGCTATCAGCCAATGAAAATCCAGGGCTGAAAACCAGACACGCAGTGATAAGGACCCCACCATGACCTCCACCACAGGGGCCTCCCACTCTGGGGTGCAGGGGCGCCGTCAGGGCGACGCCATGTGTTTTGAATCGGCGCTCGATTAGCTGAACTATGTTGAACCGATCCGTCATCGGGATCCAACCAGCTCTCCTTACCGACGCTGCCAACAAACGCCATGCATTCGTGACATTTAATGGGGGGAATCTGAAGGCCCGTGACGCTGTGGAATTACGAGCTAGAAAACATGACAGTGATCCCTCGAGCGGTATCTGTGCGAGAGCGACGGCCCTCGTCTGACTGTGGGGAGCTCTGGGTATTACACCACTTGGTGGGGGGGGGTCACAGTAAAGGCGGCTACTTAACGAAAAGCGATGGGGCCGCTTGGGAATCGCCAAATGTCCTGGATCAGCACATGATTACAGACAAGCACCTTAGGGCACGAAGCCACTGCAGGCAAAGACTGACCCGTCAGCCACCAGTGAACACAGTGGCTCGCGGTCTGGGCCAGCATCCGGCTCGGTCCGGAAGAGTTAGCATCACCATGATCTTCATTCCATGGGCCTGCCCCTGACATTTGTCTCTGTCTGATTTTTCATCCTGTTGGGGCTGCAGTTTTCAGGTCTGTTTGCTGCACCTTTTAGTGTCAGCCTTTTACAGTGATCCCCCACTATATCGCGGTTCAGCTATCGCACCCCCACTATATCGCGGATTTTTCCCAGACGCATCACAGTTCTCTGCGGTGTGTGTGTGTGTGTATATATATATATATACACATATTATTATTATTATTATTATGTTACTCATATCCTTAGCCCGACATCCATATATCATATGTGTTTACAAAGTGTGTTTTAATACGTTTACATGTGTTTAAAGCGTGTGGGAGTGGTATTTTAAGGCTTAAACTATAAAAAAAATGTTTATTTATATGGTCTCTCTATATCGCGGATTTTCAGCTATCTCTGATGGGTCTGGAACGTAACTTCCGTGATAGGCGGGGGATCACTGTAATTCTTACAATAATAATAATTAGTTTGTCTCTAAACAGCTACCGCTGGTTTTGAACCAATCTAGAATGATTCACACCCCCAGGGCCATGAACGGAGGCCATCCCAGTCCCTTTAAACACGTAGCTGCTTCTGGAAACGAAACCCCACACTGAGCGCCATCTGCAGGCCGTACCCTGAAAACATCAGCCTTTCCATATCCAGGTACGACGCACCGTTTTTGTGGTCATACTCGTTTTTTCGGTGTTAGTACCTTGCATGTTTGGCACAGGCCTCCTTCAAATAGCGGATGAAACGTTGCTACCCTTGTCTTCCCACAAGAGAGACAAAATTCTGGCAAAAGAGAAAGCGAGTGAAACAGTTCAATAAAATGAATCACACAATGCCTAAGGGGCGGGGCATGTAGGCTAGGGGGTGGAGCAACATCAGGGGAGGAGCCTAATCAATTGCTCAGCTTTTATCTTGTTCCATTGTTATGTATATTTTCTGTAATAATTTTTTAATAACATTTTCCATTCTCTTGCCCCATTACCCTGGTCTACACCTTGTCTTTTCTCATTTCTTCCTCATACTTGTACCAAACAGCTCTAGCCCCTCCCCTCTGGTTCACTTGACCCTGCCCCCATTCCCAAATAAGGTCTGCATTCACAAGCACACGCCCACACACTGCCAGAACATTTACCTTCTATACTTCTGTGATTCTTTAAAACTTCATGAAACATTTGTTCTGAAATTAAAACAACAAATGAATATCAGCCTTATTTAGATCTGTGTAATTTTACAAGAGAGCCACAGGGGGGCGCTGTAGGTACCGGCACGACCTCTGACCTCGGCTGTACACGTCCTCCGTGCCCTGCTTGGCTTTGCACAGGCCCAGCCTCGGCCTCTTGGCTGCCGGGAAGCACTCAGTCAGAGCGACGTCCAAGACCTGCTGGTTCAGCGAGCCGCTGTCTGAAGAGGGAGAAAAGCAGACAGATCTTTTTGGGGGGGGCGGGGAGTCGGCCATCATCACAGACGCTAGTGTACTTTTCCCAAGGGGCGATCCCGGGAATACCTCAGCATTCCACGGAAGCATCAGTTGCACGGAGCACACACGCAGGACCCCCCGGTATCCCCCTCGCCCTGGGGGGCGTGAGAGAGCTTTTCACAGCCCCTTCATCCCGCCCCCATGCCACGGCCTCGCCCCTCCCTCCCGGCAGACAGCTTTCTGTCACGCTGCCAGCCCCGACAGCTCACATCAACACAACACAAACTTAAGCATGTATCTGCCTATGCTTTAATACCTCTGGACATCTTACTCATTCTGTGTAGGTTTCAATTTAAATCCGCACATGTAGTTATTCATGTTCCTACATTTTCCTTTTTATATTACTTATTGTTTCTTTATCTTTATTCAGTACATTTTTTCATGTAATTCATTGTATCTGTCTTCATCATCTCATTTTTAACCTGTATATTCAATTTTTCATTAATTGGTCATTTAAATTTTTTATTGCGCCTTTATACGGACGCTTTCCAGGTTACGATATTTCGACTATATGATTGGTAAATGTTTTTCTTTTTCAGCACATTATTAAATAAATTACATAAGATATTCAACACTTTTTTATACAAAACAGGCTTTATGTCAATGATTTTTGCCCAACTGTAGGCTAATGTACGTGTTCTAAGCAGGTTTAAGGTCGGCTGGGCTGGGCTATGACGTGTGTTAGGTTAGGTGTACAGTATTGAAATGCATTTTCACCTTACGATAGGTTTGTCGTAACATAATCCCATCGTAAGCTGGGAAGAGGCTGTTTTTGATTCTCTGTTTTTGACTCTATGAGACCCTAATACCCTCTGGGGATCCATGAAACACCACCCCGGTGTTTAACCAGCCATCAGTCCCACTTACCGGAGTTCTCCATGGGCTTCAGACCCTCGAAGCCCTTGGGCAGAAAGCCCCCGTAAGCCCAGTCCAGCATAGGCTTGATCTGATCCTCGGGGCTCTCAGTGTCGCAGAGGGGGAAGGTCTTCTCTGCTCGGAGACTGGCCATCTGCCATGTGGACATTACATCGGATTTACTTAGTAGACATTTTCCTCTAAAGTGACATAAGATTGAGAAAGCAGAGTCAGACAGTCCCTGGGCTGAGGGCCTTGTTCGAGCGGCCAGTGGAGAAATCACCATGCCGACTCTGGGATTTGAAATGATAACCTACTGATGATCAGCACCCACTGAGCCATACAGCACAACCACATCACGCAGGATAGAAGCTTATACATTTAGGCCAGAGAATTACAACCTGTACACAAGCAGAGCGTGGGGGGGGGCGGGGTTTCAGACCCCCATCTCTGGAGATGTGAAGCAGCGCTACTCACTGAGCCCCACATGAAGAGCCACATCGCACGCGGGATCCGAGGCCAGAGATACTCGCTGGCTGATTACGCCACACAGCGATCCTGTGGTTTCCTTTCACTGGAGAACTCCAGTGTCTGATTAGCATTCGTCGCTAATCGCAAAGCGCAGAATCACAGCCTTGCCTCGACTGGCCCTCCCCCTCCCCCTCCCCACACTCACCTCCAGTGCCTGGAAGATGGCCCGTCTGTAGGAGGCCAGCTTCACGTAGGAGGCCTGGTTGAAGAACTTGGGGAAGGCCACAAACGACTCCAGCTTGTCGGCAGACACCTGGGGGGTAAAGGAGGTGGGGGAGGTGATCGAGAGGCACCTCAAGGCCACAGACTTTAGCGTAGCCGGGGGGGCCTGGCTTTCACTCCCACCTCTGAGAACTTGCCGTCCCCGAACCACTGGAGCCATCGCATGCCCAGGGAGGCCTGCCGCTTGCCAGTGGCACGCCAGCTCACCACGATGCCTGGCCACCAGGAGAAGCCCTTGATTTTCCCCCAAACCAGCTCCCCGACATGGAAGCCTTTGCTGTCCTGCAGGGAGAGGGAGGAGCCAGAGCGGATGTGACTAGCTGGATTGAGCCTGTCGTACTGGTTTTAGCCTTTTATATTGAGGCCAGAGCCTGTCCAGAACACAGTGTGTGACACGCTCATGGGAGTTTCACTTACACAAAAATGTTCTGAGGGCAGAACAAAAAATGGTCTCTGCTACAATTTGATTGGCTATCTCTCTCATTCGCTTTGAGAATCAATGCTTAACAGTCATCTGTTACCAGAAGCATCTAAAATCGAACTGAATCACTTAATTAGTCAACTTGCTTGATGCTTGGTACAGTACAGGTATTGGTACCTCTGATCAGGAAGAAGTCTAAGGTTTGGTAGCTAGCAGAGAGGTTCAGAAGCTTAGCCCTAACTTGGGACTAGAACCATCACCATCCAGGTAACAGTCAGATTAAGGTACCTTGTACTCTGGCTGAATTAGGGCCTCTGAAGAGGAGAGCGACACCCAGGAACCGCTCTGGGCGGAATCCTTGGAGTCGGGCTCCAGGAGATCCAGGGAGGGGCCCTCTGACACACGGGTGGCCAGGTGACATGGACTCCTCCTGCACGGGGTCTAGGTGACAGGTGGGAGACGGCGGTGAGATGTGAGCGAGGCCCACGTGATGACCCGACGTTCTGCACAGCCATCACTGGGATGCGGCGCCATCCAGCTTCTGCTCATCCGTGGGCAACACTCAGGGCACCACTGCATCATAACTGCTCTTCCGTGGGCAACACCCAGGGCACCACTGCATCATAACTGCACTTCTGTGGGCAACACCTAGGGCACCACCGCATCATAACTGCACTTCCGTGGGCAACACCCAGGGCACCACTGCATCATAACTGCTCTTCCGTGGGCAACACCCAGGGCACCACTGCATCATAACTGCACTTTCCGCCAAATGCAGACACGCTACCCGTCGGCAGTCTGACAGGGGTGGCTTCTTTAAACATCGAACATAATTAAGACGCTGACCATTGGATCGAGAGAGAGAGAATGAGATGGGGGGGTGAGTCTCCCACAAGCTGACAGCAGCTCCCTGACACCCGCGAATGACATGAAGTCCCGGAAATCTGTCATTCCGCTATTCACTGGCAGTAAAATGAGCCGGCAGAAGTTTTACCAGCAGAACCCCAGTCAGCACTAGGCTCTAATTTTTTAATACTATCATACCATCCAGACACAATCAAAAAGCATCACTATTCCGGGGGGGTTGGGAGGATATCTACTGAAAATAGTGTGGTGTATGGTAGTAATATACTACTCAAGAGCCCCCCCCCCATTTGTCTCCCAAATCTATGTATCTATGTATCTATGTATCTATCTATCTATCTATCTATCTATACTTCCACTGAATTCCACACTGCTACTGGACTGCTGAGTCACTTTGCTGAGGAGGGAGCCCCCTGTGGCCACACGCTGCACTGCGCCCCGTCCCATGGGCCCCTCACCTGGCCGCTGTGGGCCTCCTGCTTACGCTGCCGGCCCCTATCACAGCCCCGCGGCCTGCGTCGCGACGTCAGGCCTGCCTGGAAGATGACACGGGGCGGGGGCCTCTGCCTCAGGCCGGCCTCGTACTCGGTCAGGGTCTCGGTGTGGGCGTCGCCCTCCTGTGGACAGAGCGGGCGGGACACATTCACACAGGGACACGCCACCTCGGAGCGGCGTCTCCCATGACGGGCGGTATTCCGGCTGCTGCTCGCCGACTCTCAGATCCAGCCGCTCTGCTCCTGGGCTTCAGGGCATTTTTGGCTCTGACATCCTAATCTCCCCGTAATCCCCTCTAATCCCACACCAGCTCTCCTTCTCAAACCCTCCAGCTTGCTCCCTCTTCCTTTGCCCCCCCACCCACTGCCTGCTGCTCCTCTCTGTCTTTCAAA